GAGGGAGGAGGGAGAGGAGGGAGGAGGGAGGGGGATGTGGGGGAGGAGGAGGCAGATCCATGGGAACTTTGGCCCGTCCTGGGGTGCGACAGGGAGGAGTTATTCATAACGAAGACGGATGGGGGAGGAGAAGGAGAGGGAGGAGGAGGAGGAGGAGGAGGAGGAACAGTGCAAGCCCAAGACTCATCAACGATGCCGCAATAAACCCTTCCTCCAAGTTCCCTGCTCACAAGCTCCTATAAAGATGTGTGTTTCACTGCGGGAAGAGTCCCGTTGGAAAACAAACATCTGAAAATGTTCAACCGTACCAAAGCACCATTCCTGGGACTTCAACGCCGCGAATCAACGTTACTGTTGCGACCTGACCATCCTAAATCGCACCATAATCCCACGAATCAACGTGACTGTTGTGACCTGACAGCAGTAAATCGTGACAGAACATCGATTCTGAGACATCAATCACAAGAATTGTCGAAACTATGACGACTGAGCGCAGCGCTAGGGCGAGAACCACGTTTTGAAAAGGAGTCGCCCTCGATCCGTGAACTCTTGTACACATTTAAGACGAATGCGTGCGGCGCTATGGCAAGAACCACAATTTGAAAAAGACGCGCCCTCCATCAGTGAAACTCTTGCACGCTTTTACAACGATTGTGCGCGGCGCAATGGCGAGAACCACATGTTGAAAACCAGCCGCCCTTCATCCAAGAAACTCTGCACACACTTTTAGAACGAATGAGCGCGGCGCATGGCGAGAGCCACATTTTGAAAACGGCCCGCCCTCCATCCGTGAAGCTTCAACATCATGAACGGTGAGGAAATCTCAGGCGAAACGCCCGGCCCGCTCTACAGACCAGTCTCGGGGTGCGACAGTGAGTTGTTCGTAAGGAAAAAGGGATGGAGGATAATGAGGAGGAGAAAGAGGAGGAGGAGGAGGAGGCCGCCATCATCACCTTCCTCCTGCTATGCTCGTCTGCTTACCACGTCCTGGCCGCTGTCCTCCTTCACAAAAGAGAATATGGGAGCGCGCTGCCCTTGCATGATGGACTGGGTCGGCCTCCGCGGGATGCCAGTGAAGCCTCGTGGCACCTCCCGCTGCTGCACCGCCGATCGCTGACATGTGCAAACTGCTCACGCAAAGGGACCTCCACATGCGTTGCGCTAATGACTGATGATCCCATCCCCACCCCTCCCAAGACCTCTCCTCCTCCCAAGCCGCTCCAATAAGGGGGAACGTTATAGGGGGGGGACCGGATTTGGAGGGGAAGCATCGAGCTGGATTTGGCGACACATCGCAGATGGATCGGCGATAGGCCCCAATCAACGAATCCGCACGTTACTGGGCGGTGTGGGCTGTCGGGCCCCTCATCGGCGATGAGTGGGCGATTGGAGGTCGATGCATCCCCCCTGGGCCATCCCATCTGACGTTGCCCCTGATCCCCACGCTAGACAGATCCAGCCGCTCCAGGGTGTGAAAGATTGCCACCCCCACCAGTTGTGCGACGAAAAGAAGCGGTTCCTACGCCAAAAGACGTAGCGACCTTACGCGGTGGCTTCCTCGGGCCGCCAGCGCGGCACGCCGCATTGGAAACGAGGGCGCTTACGCGAGACCTTCCGCGGGCAACGTACGCGCGAATGTCGGCACAATCGACACCGTTTTCTTTCGTCGCTCATTCGACCACGTGCCGGGAGGCGTGCCCTCCCCGATCAGATGTGGAGCGTCTGCTAGGCACTGCAGAACCGGCTGGGCCTTGAGGCCTAGCTGGGGCCCGCGTGAGGGCGAGGACGGGGTACTGCCAGAGGAGGCCACGACTGATGGTGTCACCAGAAAATGATATTTCACGACATGGGCCACAAAACTCTCGCCCCCTATCTCCAGGACCGGATTCTCGTCGCGGCTCGTTCCGTGATGGCCCAGGGGCCCAAAAGACTGTCCTCAGGTGTTTCAGCTACGTAAGAGAAAACATTAGCCAGCATGGACCCCAAACAGTGATGTCTTGCAATATGTGCGGCGCAATCTAGGTGGTGCAACCAATGTGGTGCGATCTAGTCGGTGCAATCCATGTGGCGCAATCTATGCGTTGCGATGCAATGCAAAGCAGTGCGATTCCAGTGCGATTGCAGTGTAAAGCCGTGCAGAGCGATACAAAGCCACGCAGTGCGATGCGAAGCATGGCAAAACGATGCAAAGCAATACCAGCGCAACGCAACGCAAGGCAGCGCGATGCGATTCGCATGCGATGCCATTGCCGTGCGGCACAGTGCCGGCGGCGGCGGCGGCGACGGGCGGCGACGAGCTGGCCAGACCGCCACTGGGGCTCAGCTGCCAGCGGCGACGGCGGCGGCGACGGGCGGCGACGAGCGGGCCCGACCGCCACTGGAGCTCGGCTACCTCGCAGAAGACAAGCAAGGAGCCCCCGAGTGCGAGCACTGCCTGGGGAAAAGTTGCGCTTGAGAGGTCTCCGAGGAGGAGTACCCGATAGTACCCGTCGCACGTGAACGTTCTCTTTAGTCGGCGTTTCGACATTGTGCGCAAGAAGGGGGGAGAGGGGGGGAGGTCTGGCTCCGGACCTCTGCTTGATGCCACTGTTTGCAGCAGTGCGTCCGGGGACTCCGCCTGCTCGAAACGGGCGCCCAGAACAGCCGAGATCTACTCCATGGGGGGGTGGAGGGGGGGTGCGAGGGCTCGCGCCGATCGGCAAAACGATGAGTAAGAAAACGATCAAACAGGAGGGGGACCCGCCGCTTCCCACCCCCACCGGCGAGGAGTGCTTCATCGCGGCATCGCGTGACGCGCCTCCGTCTCCGCGCCTGGCCGCGGGGGGGGGGGCATACTGCTCGCGCGGCAGCGGCAGGCAAGAGGCGCTGGGTAATTAGCTGGGCGGGCGGAGGGGAGGACGAGGAGGGGTGGAGGCTCTCGGAGAGGAGGGCCCAAGACGGCCCAAGAGGCCAAGACGCCCCAGGAGGGCCCCCAGAGGGGGGCCCCACGCAGACCTCAAGGTCCCCAAGCGGGCCAGAGAGGCCCAAAAAGGCCCGAGAGGGCCCCAAGACGCGCAAGCAGGCCCCCAAGAAGACCTCAAACCGGCCTCAAGAGTCTCTCTCTCTCTCTCTTTCTTTCTTGTTTGTTCTCTCTCTCTCTCTCTGTCATTATCATTATCTCTGTCTCTCTCTCCTTTTGTTTATGTCTCTCTTTATTTTTTGTTTGTTTCTCGCTTACTCTCTCTCTCTCTCTGGTTTTGTTTTTGTTCTCTCTTTCTCTCTCTCTCTCTCTCTTTCTCTCTGCGTCTCCCTCTCTCTCTATGTATGCATGTATGTCGGAGGTTGGGGGGTAAGTCCGACGTGAAACGGAACCCCCCCCTACCGGGAAATCGATTTCGGTTTCGGGTTCGTGTCGTGCGTGCCGTGCGTGCGTTCGGGCGAGGCGAAGCTGCGTGGGCGGGCGAAAAGAAATCCTCTTGTGGCTGGGCCGCGGCCGGACCAAATGTTTCTCCTCCGGCGGCCGGTGGCCCGCGGTGTCCCGCCGCTGTCCTGCTGGTGTCCCGAAATCCTCCTGTGGCTGGGCCGCGGCCGGACCAAATCGGGTGGCGCCGCGAGCAGTCACTGTGGCACTGCAGCGCGCACGTTCGACCACGTCGACGAGCGCTGAGGTGAGGTTCGCGCGATTGATAAGCGCACGCGGGGACAGCACTTCACGACAATGTCGAATGCGCTTCGCCAACATCGCCTGATCACATCACGCTCACGTGCACAATCACACTACTCACTAGACTCCGCCCCACAGGCATCGTCAGAACAACAATCACCACTTTTGCCCATTGCTGCCCCCCCCGAACCTCCTTATCACCCGCAGGGTGGTGTATAGGTATGTATTGTTGTACGTATATGTATACTAAAATCCAGGTGTCATGGGGGACGAAGCCCCGCTCGCAGGCCCCCAAACTGGACTGCCTGGATCCCTGGATCACTGCGCCCCGCGAACCTCCTGGGCGCCCTTGCATAGCGTTCCCTGGCGCTTCTGGACGTCCCCGACGCTCCTGCTGGGCATTGCCATCTGATCAGTTGCGGCGTCGTGTCCTGGTTCATGCGTATATTTATATGTATATATACACACAAGGATGCAGTGGCGCTTCGCGCCATGCACCTTGGTCCTTGAAGTTTGGCATGCAGGCAGAATGGCAGGCAGGTCGAGCCGACAATTTGGCGATAACTCCTTGTTGCCTTTTCCAGCACCGCCATTCTAATAATGTTATTCGTTATCCTTCATCCATGCTTCTTTTTCTTCATTCAGTATGTTATTCGTTATGCTTATTTTTCTTCATTCAGTATGTTGTTCTTACTCGTTATCCTTCATCCATGCTTCTTTCCATCTAATAATGTTATTCGTTATCCTTCATCCATTCTCCATCCGTCCTTACCCTGCGCATTCTCCCCATCCTCCTCAGCTCCTTTTGCGCAGGCTCCTCCTTGGAGAGCCTCTGGGGGCCTCACACAATTTTTTCAGGCTTTCTTAAGGCCTTCTGGAGGCCTCCTGGGCGTGTTCTGGGGGCCTCTGAGGGCTTCCTCAGGCCACCCTGCCTCCAACCGCGGTCTCCCTCAACGACCGGGTCACGATTTGGAATGCTTCGGAGGGTGTCTTGGGGCCATCTTGGGCCGCCATGGGGCTCTCTGAGGGCCATCTTGGACCCCTGTTGTGCCGTTTTGGGGCTCTCTTGGACTGCCTGGAAGACCTTTCGGATGGTTGTGGGGCGATTTGGAGCGTCCCAGGCGGCTTCGGACGCCCAGAAGACCGCCGTCTTGGAGCATCGGGAAGCCGAAAAGAGGAGAACCCCAAAATTCACTAAAAACCAGCAACAAATCACCAATGTTTGCCTCTTTTTTTGTCAGTAACGAGTGTGTACGATCAGAGGGCGGAGCAGCAGCTCGACGAAGAGGATCAGGACGCTCAGCAGCGCCAGAGACGCCTCACACATCTCGCTCAGCAGCGCCAGCGCCCGCTGCCACTGCTTGCCTTTCGCGCGCGCGCTGATCCCAGCGTTGTAGCTGATGACAGTGGGCTCCAGAGACACCTCACACATCTCGGTCAGCAGCTCCAGCGCCCGCTGCCACTGCTTGCTCTTCGCGCACGCGCTGATCCAAGCGTTGTAGCTGAGGACCTTCGGCTCCGACATCTCATCCCGCAACTCGCTGATCCGCTGTCGACATTGGGCTCCAACTTCGCAATCAATATATCGCTGAGCAGTGGCATGACCCGCTTTCACTGCACGCCTCTCTCTCTCTCTCTTTCTTTATCGCTCTCTCTCTCTCTCTCTTTCTCACACATGCTGATCTCACCGCTGCAGCCAACCAGGGCGGATCCGTGCAATGTTATCCGGAGCAGCGCTTCTGCTGCGCGATAGAAGCCACTGTCAAATCCACACTGCGGATGTCCGTCCACGAAATCAAAATGGTTGCCCAGCAAGTGTTCACACGCACAGTGCTTCGCAAGACACGCAAAAACGCGAAAGACCGATCCCAAGATAGCCTGGAAATCCTGCCGAGTCGAGAGACGACCTCTCATAAGCTGTGGTGCACATGTTGCAACTGATGTCGCTCGTCTCCACATTGCACTCCCGCATCTCGCTGAGCAGCGACAACGCATGCCGCCACTGGCCGCATCTCTCACACGCGCAGGTCGCAGCGTTGTAGCTGATGTCGTTGGGCTCCAGCTTAGCCTCCCGCATCTCGCCCAGCAGCGCAAGCGCCCGCTGCCACTGCTCGCCCTTCTCGCTCGCGCTGATCCCAGCGCCGTAGCTGATGACAGTGGGCTCCAGGTTCACCTGACGCATCTCGCTCAGCAGCGCGAGCGCCCGCTGCCACTGCCCGCCCTTCTCGCACGCGCTGATCCCAGCATTGCAGCTGATGAAGTCGGGCTCCAGCTTCGCATCACACATCTCGCTGAGCAGCGCCAGCGCCCGCTGCCACTGCTGACCTTTCTCGCACGCGCTGACCCCAGCATTGTAGCTGATGACGTCGGGCTCCAGCTTGACTTCCCACATCTCGCTTAGTAGCGCCAGCGCCCGCTGCCACTGCTCGCCCTTCTCGCACGCGCTAATGACAGCGCTGCAGCTGATGGCGTTGGGCTCCAACTTCGCCTCCCACATCTCGCTCAGCAGTGCCAGCGCCCGCTGCCACTGCTCGCCCTTCTTGCACGCGCTGATCCCAGCGCTGTAGTTGATGACGTTGGGCTCCAAGCTCACCTGCCGCATCTCGCTCAGCAGCGCGAGCGCCTGCTGCCACTGATTGCTCTTCTCGCACGCGCTGATCCCAGCGTTGTAGCTGATGACGTCGGGCTCCAAATGTGTCTCGGCCATCTCGCTTAGTAGCGACAGGGCCCGCTGCCACTGCTGACCTTTCTCGCACGCGCTGATCCCAGCGTTGTAGCTGATGAAGTCGGGCTCCAGTTTCGTCTCGCCCATCTCGCTGAGCAACGACAGGGCCCGCTGCCACTGCTGACCTTTCTCGCACGCGCTGATCCCAGAGTTGTAGATGATGTTGTCAGGCTCCAATTTCGTCTCGACCATCTGGCTGAGCAGCGACAGGGCCAGCTGCCACTGCTGACCTTTCTCACACGCGCTGATCCCAGCACTGTAGCTGATGACGTCGGGCTCTAGCTTCGCCTCCCACATCTCGCCGACCAGTGCCAGAGCCCGCTGCCACTGCTCGCCCTTCTCGCAAGCGCTGATCCCAGCATTGTAGGAGATAACAGTGGGCTCCAACTTCGACCCCCACATCTCGCTGAGCAGCGACAGGGCTCGCTGCCACTGCTGTCCTTTTGCACACGCACTGAGAGTGGTAACGTAATGTCCATGGCCGTGTTTCACACGCGTGTTGGATGCCTCGCAGAACAGTTGCAACGCTTCTCTCCAACTCCTTGTCCTACCAGACTTCTTCGTGGCCTCTTCGAAACGAGAACCGCCTGGTCCAGATCCTCGCCAAACGCCCGACGTCCAGTGCGACCCTTGAAACAACATGTCACATTACCGATCGAGCCGGAGGCTCGTGTCAAGATGGCTTGAGCCAAAATGGCTTGAGCCAAGCTTGAGCCAAAACGGCTGGAGCCAAAATGGCAACGGACACCAATGTTTGCCTCTTGGGCCCTTCTTGGGTTTGCTCTTGGAGGCCTCTTGGGACGTTTTGGAACGATCTTTGGGGGTATGACGGCTTCTTGGGGGGCGTCGTGGACTGTATTGGGGCTCTCTGGGGTCGTTTCGGGAGCACGCCGGAACGCCTGGAACCCGTCTGGGGCTGGCTTCGGGGTCTCGTGAGGTTCTCCTGGGTCGTCTGAAGGGTTGCCTGGAGGCCCAGGGAGGGCCAAATTCGTCGGGGGGGGCGCTTTTTCCAGCGTCCCCGGCCCTATAAAAGTAGGCGCTTCGCGCCATGCACCTTGGTCCTTGAAGTTTGGCATGCAGGCGGATCGGCAGGAAGGTAAACCAAACAATTTAGCGATAACTCCTTGCGTTAAGGGACAGTTTCGAAGATATGTTCTTGATGTTCCAGTTGGCACATTACAGATCGATGAAAGGGACCATGTTTGCACTATGTCTATAATGCAATTCGGCGAAACCCCCCTCTCGGGCCCCCTGGGTCCCTGGATCGCTGCGCCCCGTGAACCTCTCGGGCGCCCTTGCATAGCAGCGTTCACTTGGGCTTCTGGACGTCCTCAACGCTTCTGCTGGGCATTGCTACCTGGTCAGTTGCGGCGTCGTACCACAATGTGCGTGTATATATGTGTATCTATACACACATACGTACAAGCATACATACAAGCATCCATACATCCATACATGCATATACACATATATACATACATACGCACATACATACATGCATGCATGTATGCATGCATGCATGCATGCATACATGCATACATGCATATATACATGCATGCACACATACATACGCACATACATAAAACAAAGCATGCATGCATGTATGTATAGACACATACATACGCACACACAGACATACATGCATGCATGCATGCATGCATACATACATACATACACACGTACATGCACACACACGTACATACAGACAGACACACAGACAGACAGACAGACAGACAGACAGACAGACAGACAGACAGACATGCATACATGCATGCCTACATGCATCCATGCATCCATGTGTACATACATCTACATACATACATACATACATACATACATACATACATACATACATGCATGCATGCATGCATGCATGCATGCATGCATGCATACATGCATACTTACAGTTATACACATACATGCATACATACAGCCATACAGACATACACACATGCATTCATACACACGTGCATATACATATATAGGTGCACATACATGCATGTGTGCACATACATGCATGCATACATACGGACATGCACACACATACCTACCTACATACATACGTACGTACATACACTCATACCTGCATCAAAACATAAATACATACATCCACCCATGAATAAAGACACACATACATACATACATACATACAAATGTGTGTATATATAGCTATCGATGTACTCACAAATATAAGCGCCAAAGAGTAAACTATAGAAGCATGAGTTGGAAGGACGCGGAGGAGTGCAAGCAGGAGCAGTCGAGCCGCAAGAGGATGATTAACGTCGAAGACGACGGATGACAGAAGACACCACAAGACGGACGGATGACGACGGAAAATCGCAACGGGGAATGCAACGACGAACGACAGAACGACAACGATGACGATGGCGACGACTGACGACGACCGACCGACGGCGATAAGAGCGACGACGACGTCGATGATGACGAAGATGACCGACGACGACCGACTATCGACGACGGGCGAGTGGCGACGGTGGCGATAACGCTGACGACGGCGGAAGCTGGACGAACGACCATACCAACAACGACGACGAAGACGACGACAGCAACAATCATGACGAGGCGAACTGACTGCCCCCGGCCTGGCCTGCTGGCGCAGATCCAGTTGCCAGCGCGGGCCCGTGTTGCGCCCGCCCCGCCATGGCCGCGGGCTCCCCGAAGCGGCGGCCGGGCGCAGCCGAGGCCGAGGCCGAAGAGGAGGACGACAACGACGACGACGGCGGCGGAGGCGGCGGCCACGACAAGATATCCTTTTCATCGTCCTTCTGCTGCAGTTGCTCGTCCACCTCATCTTCCTCCTCCTCCTCCTCCTCTTCCTCCTCCTCCTCCTCCATTCCTTTTCCTTATGGATGACCTCTCCCTGTCGCACCCCGAGGCTTGCTTTTAGGTCGGGCCAGGCGTTTCGCCCGAGACTTCGTCACCGCTTATGGCCCTGAAGCTGAAAAAAAACGACAGTTTCATAGATTTGGGGCGGGTGGTTTTCACAATGTGGCTCTCGCCCTAGCGCCGCGCACATTCGTTTCAACAAGTGGCAAGAATTTCACGGATTGGGAGTGGGTCGTTTTCAAAAATGTGGCTCTCGCCTTAGCGCCGCGCACATTCGTTTCAAACAGTGGCACGAATTTCACGGATTGAGGGTGGGTGGTCTTCACAATGTGGCTCTCGCCTTAGCGCCGCGCAAATTCGGTTTCAAAATTTGCACGAGTTTTACGTATTGAAGGCGGGCCGTTTTCAAAATGTGGCTCTCGCCTCAGTGACGCGCACATTCGTTTTCAAAATCTGCAAGAGCTGAACGGATTGAGGGCGGTTCCTTTTCAAAATGTGGCTCTCGCCTCAGCGCCGCGCACATTCGCTGTCAACATGTACAAGAGCTTCACGGATTCCCGTGATCAACGTACTCAAAATGGTGTTCTGGAAAGACTCAGGACAATGTGGGCGCCACAGTTACGTTGGTTCGTGGTGCAGAAGTCCCAGGAATGGCGCTCTGGCGTGATTCAAAATTGTCAAGACGCAACAGTCAGGTTGATCCGTGGCGTTGGAGTCCCAAGAATAATGTTTTGGCATTCTGCAGGGTCTTACAGTTGTCTCTCAACGAGGCAGTTCCTTCAGTGGAACTGAACCGCTGTAGGGGCCTGTGAAGAGGAAGCTCGGAGGGAGGGTGTATTCCAACATCGTCGATGGCTCTTGGGTTTACACAGATCCTCCTCCTCCTCCTCCTCCTCCTCCTCCTCCTCCATCCTCCGCGTCCTTGCCATCCTTCCCCTCCTCCGCCGCGTCATCATGCTGCTGCTCCATGTGCTTCTCCTCGTACGCACGGCGACCGCTGAGCCTAGTGGGATCCTGGAGCGGTTGCCACCCCAGTTTGGGTTGCAGAAAACACAGGCCGCTCTTCCCAACGAGCTCCAGATCCCACTCCTCGCCATCGCTCGGACGTCCATTCCCCGTGCACCTGTCGCTTTCGCGCGCGTATGTGTCGCAAGGTGATCCAGGATGCTCCCCGGTGGGCCTCGTCGAGAAGAAATGCCCGCGCCCGGGCGATGCCCCGCATCCCCCCTTCCCCGCTCCCTCTCGTCCTTCCCCCCCCCCTTCCCGCCCGCCTCCGCTCCCGCCGCGCTCCCCCCTCCCTCCACCTTCTCTCCCCCGTCGCGCCGCCCGGCGCGTCGTCGGGGCGGCCCGGGCGTTTCGCCGGGACCTCCTCCCAGCGTTGGATCTCGAGGCTTCTTGAGCACTCCAAAACGTACACGGGTGGAGCACATGTGGTTCTTGAAATGGGGCCCTGGCCTTGGCACTGCGCGCGGTCGCCTTCAGATGCTCCAGCAACTCAACGGATGGGGAGCGCCCCGTTTCCAACAGTCTCCCGCAGCTTATGAGCCGAAGTTCAGATGCAAAAGTGTGCAAACGTTGCACGGATGGATGGCGATTCCCTCAAACAAATGGGCTGTCGCTTCAGTTTCCCCTGCAGCATTTAGGCAGTCACTCCGAAGGTGCGCCATGCTTCTGGGATGGAAGGCGCGCCGGTTCAAAACGGAGCTCTCGCTGGTCACTTCCTTCAGCTGTACGAGCCTGCAGTGAAGACGTATAGTAAGGACGGGTGGCAAGGACGCCAGACCCTTGGAGGCCGAAGTTGGGATGTTTTGAATGGCGGGCGACCGAAGCACCAGAGGTACCCCGAGAGGCTGGCCAGTAGAAGCGGCAAAGGACGGGACGCAGAGGCAAGGATACAAGGCAACCCTGGAAAAGGCGCGCGTCCTTACGACAAGCCTCGTCAAAAATATCCAGAAATGGAAGTTGAAATCCTGGAGCGCGGCAGAGGCAAGGATACAAGGCAACCCTGGAAAAGGCGCGCGTCCGTATTACAAACCTCGTCAAACATGTTCTGGAATGGAGGTTGAACTCCTGGAGCGCGATGCTTTCGGGCACTTGTCAGGAAGCGCGTTCTTCAATGCTGAGGGGGTGGGGTCGGTTTTTGGACAGCGCCGCGTCCGAGTCAACAGACATTCGTCAGCATTGGAGTAGCGCTGACCCCACAATCACCGAATCAAGAAGTCTTCTGTTTATTTTTGACGAGCCTTGTATGCGCGTTGACTCTACCTCATTGCATCTCGTGCAGCTAGACGGGCGGGAAATGGATTCTCTGCTAAAAGGGATCACCGTTGAACAGCAGGCACACGGCGATCGTCTGTCGAGCGAGGCGGCCTCCCGCAGTCGAGAGGGTGCACTGCAGCACAGTTGATGCATCTTGGACTGATTCTGCTTCATCTTCCTCTTGCGCCTCCTAATATTTTCATTGTTCGTCCTCCTCCTGTCTCCATCTTCCTCCTCCGCCTCCTCCTCCCAATACTCGTCCTCCTTCTCCTCCTCCTCCTCCTCCTCCTCCGCCTCCTTCTCCTCCCCCCCTTGCTCGTCCTCCTTCTCCTCGTCCTCCTCCTCCTCGTCCTCCTCCTCCTCCTCTTCCTCCTCCTCCTCCTCCTTCGCCGCCCCCCCTCTTCCTCCTCCTCCTCCTCCCCTCCGCCTCCTCCTCCTCCTCCGCCTCCTCCTCCTCCTCCCCCTCCTCCTCCTCATTCCTCCTCCTCCCCCTCCCCCTCCTCCTCCTCCCCCTCCTCCTCGTCCCTCCTCCTCCTCCTCCTCCTCCTCCTCCTCCTCCTCCTCCTCCTCCTCCTCCTCCTCCTCCGCCTCCTCTCCTCCTCCGCCGCCCCCCCTCCTCCTCCTCCTCCTCCTCTCCTCCTCCTCCCCTCCTCCTCCTCCTCCTCCTCCTCCTCCATCCTCCTCCTCCTCCTCCTCCTCCTCCTCATCCCTCCTCCTCCTCCGCCTCCTCCTCTCCTACCTCCTCCTCTCTCCCCCTCCTCCTCCCCCTCCCCCTCCCCTCCCTCTCAGCATCCTATTCCTCCTCTTCCTCCTTTTGCCTCTCCAACTCCTGCCCCTCATGCCCCCCCCCCCACACTCCAGCTCGTGGCCCAGACGCCGTGACCCAAACGCCTGCGCTCGGGCGACCGACCCAAACGGCTCGCTGTGCCGAACCGCTGCGTCGCGGACCCCCGCCCGCAACTGCCGCGCCGCCGGGCGACGTGCTGGAGCCGAACGCGCGCGCGCGGGCGCGGGTCGTCGTCGTCGTCGTCGTCGTCGTCGTCGTCGTCGTCGTCGTCGTCGTCGCCGCCGCCGCCGCCGCCGCCGTCGTCGTCGCCGCCGCCGCCGCCGCCGTCGTCGTCGTCGTCGTCGTCGTCGTCGTCGTCGTCGTCGTCGTCGTCGTCGTCGTCGTCGTCGTCGTCGTCGTCGTCGTCGTCGTCGTCGTCGTCGTCGTCGTCGTGGTCGTCGTGGTCGTCGTCGGCCGGCTGCGGGCCTCGCGCCGCGGGCGACGCGCGGCGCTCCGCGCGCCCCCCGCGGGCCCCTCTCTGCAGAGGGGCCACGCCCTTGCGCCCAGGGTCGCGAGGCGTGCCCAGCCGCCCGCCCCTGCGCGCGACCTGGATGGCCCGCCGCGGCAGACCTCAGAGGAGCTCACAAAAGTGCCGACAATTGCGCAGATGGCAGCGCCCGATGAAGGAAGGCCTTGCTCGATCCGCGTACCGTCGGGGCTGACTGGAGAGGACACGCGAGAGGACACAAACCCATTCCGAGGGCCACACTGGCATCGGAATGTGGAAGGCACGAGTCGCGAAACACAGGACAAAGGTACCCTTGATTTGGCAGGGTCGCGGCCCAGGGAGGGGGGCCAGGGGACGCAGGTAGAAGAGGAGGAGGCGCCCTGAAACTTGGGGAGATCTCCTGGCCCCGGCCGTGAGATGCACGCCGCCCCCCTTGTCGTCACCACCCTCATGGCCGCCCCCGAGCCCTCGCGCGACCCTCTCTGCAAAGGGGAATGCAAAAGGGCCACGCCCTGGCCTGGGACCGCGAGACGCGGCCAGCTCCGTGCCCCCCTGCGCACGATCTGCATGGCGGCGTGGCCGGCTTGCGGCGTCTGTCAGCGCTCAGCGCGCGTGTCGCTTGATATTGCACGACCTTCCGCTGCGGGGGAGGTAGGGGGGGAGGGGGCTACGGCCAAGCTAGGTGCGCTCACGTCATACCTGACGTCCTACCCCTCCCTCCCATCCCTTGCCATGGCGTAGATCTCCTCTCTATAGCATTACATGGCATAGCATGGTGTCGAAGATCAACGCGTAGCATGACATAGCATGGTGTGGCGACGCCCCAAAGTGGTGGGGGGGGTGTTCTGCGGCCCAAAAAAATCAACGAATCGACACTGAATGTGCAATCACTTCCGATGGTTTCTTCGGGAGGCCATTTTCTAGATTTTAGGGGGCTATTTGGAAGGACCGAAAACCATGCTGGGGCATGGCACTCGAAATAATGACGCCAGCGCTGCAGCGGGAGCACGATTCGGAACGAGCGGAAGCGCGGAAATGAGGCCAGCGCTGCAGCGGGAGCACGATTTGGAACGAGCGGTAGCCCGAAAATGAGGCCAGCGCTTCAACGGGAGCAGCATAAAAAAGCGCGGAAGCGCGGAAATGAGAACGCGTAGCCTGACCTAGCATGGCGTGGCGACGCCCCAAAGTGAGGGGTGCTTCTGCGGCCTGAAAAATCAACGAATCGACACCGAATGTGTAATCACTTCCAATGGTTTATTCGGGGGTCCATCATCTAGATTTGGGGGCCTATTTGGAAGGACCGAAATGCCGTGGCATGGCACTCGAAATAATGAAGCCAACGCTGCGGCGGGAGCAAGATTTGGAACGAGCAGAAGCGCGGAAATCAGGCAAACGCGGCAGCGGGAGCACGATTCGGAACGACCGGTAGCCCGAAAATGAGGCCAGCGCTTCAGCGACAGCAGCATTCTGGACAAACAATTCAGCGCGGAAGCGCGGAAATGAGGACGCGTAGCCTGACATAGAATGGCGTGGCGACGCCCCAAAATGAGGGGTGCTTCTGCGGCCCAGAAAATCCACGAATCGACACCGAATGTGTACTCACTTTCGATGGTTTTTTCGGGGGGTCCATTTTCTAGATTTTTGGGCCTATGTGGAAGGACCGAAAACCACGCCGTGGCATGGCGCTGGAAAAAATGACGCCAGCGCTTCGGAAGAGGTACCATTCGGAACGAGCGGAAGCGCGCGGAAATGCGGCGCTGCAGCGGGAGCACGATTTGTAACGAGCGGTAGCCCGAAAATGAAGCCAGCACTTCAGCGAGAGCAACATTTTGAACGAAAAACCAAAGCGAAAACCCAACTCCCGGGAATCCTGTGTGAAAAACGAATACGCGGAGGGGGGCTGGACATTCCCCGGACGCCACCAGGGAAAAGAGGAGAGTAGTATTCATATTGCGTAATTGTCAGGGGGGGCGGAGACGCCCGCATGACAGAAGTGAGCACTGCGTGCGCGCAGGACAGCAGCGCATAGGAAGCTTCACAGGAGGAGGAGGAGGAGGAGGAGGAGGAGGAGGAGGAGGAGGAGGAGGAGGAGGAGGAGTGGTGGGGGGGAATGATTCCCCCCTCTTCAACTGGCGGGTCTACCACTGGCGCCCTTTCCTAAATTACGGTGTCTGTCGGCGCGTGTGCCGCTCAATACTGCACGACCCTTCGCCGCGCATGCCCGTGCCAGGACCGCTGGGGGGTTACTCAAC